TGCTGAGGCACAGCCAGAACCTCGGAGAGGTCCAAGAACATTCGGTGATCTCTCTGAGGCACCTCCTGGCATCAGCTTATCTTGAAATCTAACACTGTCGCCTAATTTTTTGTTGTTAAACTAAAAACTGATGATCCATCAGCTTGTGTTTCCTGGTTCGGCAGCTCTCAGGCCCGCATTTTGTTATCCAGCTTGCGARGCCCACTTTTTGAATACTAGATTAGTGACAACAAATATAATTTCGAACCCCGCCACATGCAGAAAGAAACATAATTCAGCTGTTCTCACAGGAGCAGACAGGACCAGAAACACAGCGACTGGTGCAAGAAGTGGCAGAACGGCCTGGTCTTCCTGCTGAGGCTGAGGTCCCATGGACACATTTGATCACAATGTAGTGGTCAGTGTCCTTTATTTATTCTGCTATGCGCTGACCTGCTGACAAAAATACCAAGTGACTGGACAAGCTGGAGAAGAGGGCCAGCTCGGTACTTGTCAGGAAGCTGAGAGCTGTGGTGCAGAGGGACTCATGGGACAAACTGGAAGTCATGATGGACACGACCTCTGGCTCAGCAGAGGAGCAGCAGCAGGAGGCTGCAGAACTGACAGGTTCAACAGGTCTTACATCATCTCTTGTCCATWTTACAAAGTGGATGTTTTAACATTTTTATTTTTTTTACAACTATCTTTCTGTATGATATATGGAGTACTGGCTGGATCAGAGTATTTAAAAGCTATGCTTGCTTTAATGGTCTAATGATATTTACTCGTGATTAAAAAGAAATAATGTGAGTCTTAAAAATCTCCCAACAAAAACAATGACATTGCTCCGCAATGTTCACGCATCTGCCGAAACCCGGGATCGAACCAGGGACCTTTAGATCTTCAGTCTAACGCTCTCCCAACTGAGCTATTTCGGCGCGCTCGGCAATGTTCGGTAGTTTTCGGAAGACGAGTAAAGCAGACAGCCGACTGCATGTTCGAGTTGAGATTCTGCTGCCATCTACCGGCGATTGGTGTGAGGTTCAGTCGTTTCCGGGTGTACAGAACATGAATTGTAAGCAAATTCGAATTAATCTGAAACGGCAGGAAAAATTCATCTAAATAAATTAAAAAAAAAAAAAAACTATTTTAGATAAAGGAGATAAGCTCTAGGCTACTCCAATTTTGTCAGTAGTTTTAAAGTGCGTGTCTTAACCCCTTGGCCTACTATAGTCTACTGGCCTTATCTTTTCATATGCTATCCGAAACGATTACATTTATAATTATTTATACACGAGTTCCCCACCGGGTAGAATTATTTTTAGTAAAATATAGCCTACCTGATAAATGATTTAGACTAGGTAATGTACCAGGAAAATGAGTCACAATCGAAGTGAAAAATATAAAGAATGAAAGAAAAAAAAAAAACGTCAGACATCGCCAGTAAAATCACAATTAGATATAACTATTGTGTGTAACTAAAAACTGCTAATTCTTATGCGATTAAAAAAACTTGTTCTAATGGGATTTAAAGATACAAAATGATGGAGCAAKGTTGTAATCTTCAGTATACGCGCAGCCTTCTTACGACCACAATCAACACGTTTCTGTGCACTTCTCCCTAACATCCACCAGAGGGCGACATGGTCCGAGCCCGCTTCACGGTGACACGATTTGTCCTGATTATCCGAGCCACGGTATGACGTCATCCCCAATCAAACAGGTATTTTTGCAGGATGTGTGTGTTWTGGAATTATATTCAGTTTGATGAATGTTCAGCTTAAATACAAAAGTATAACCTATCATTTCCTATCTTTTTTCTGCACATTTTCTAGTGTTTGATTTCCATTATTTTAAACGCTGAATTTTTTTTAACTTGTAGTTTTTACATCTCATCTATAAATTTACAGATGGCTGCTTTATGTTTTTAACATTGCCTAAGTTAGGAATCCCTGGCTGCAAAAAACGGAGGGTAGAACTCCTTTGTACCCAGAGTCATCATATTTTTAAATTTCAAAATTTATAGTTTTAAAATTTCTTCAAACCTTTATAAATTGCTGCTTGTATGCTTTGACACTGTCTATGTGTTATATGTTGTGTTGTATGTTGGAAATGCTTGGCTGCAAATCAAATTTGGGCAATAAAGGTACTGAACTGAACTGAACTGAATCAGAACTTTGGTAACACAACACAAACGTAAAAATCAGACACATTATTTTGATTTAACAAATAAAYATTTAAGCTTAATCAATAAAAATGACATAAAACAAATTTACATTTCATGTAATCACACAATCTTGCAGAAAAACAACGGGTTTAATAAAACACAGCTGACACTTTTTTGTTTCTGCTTGATTTTTTTTTCTGACAGCTTTTCTGTTTATCATCATACCCAATGAAAAACAACATTCATCAATCACATTCAGGCTGGACTGTGCTGCAGCTGACAGATTAGTTTTGCAGGACGAGTGCTTTTTTTTTTAGTTTCCTCCATAAATTTTCAAACTGATTAAGTTCTGAGCACTTTTTCTGTTTTACTGCATGAATTTTGTCCTGAGAAATGTTTTCACATTCCTGTCAAGTCGTGTTATMAGCCTGAAGAATGACTTCATCAGAACCAGCAGACTTGTTTTTATTGTTTTTTTTTTATTTGTTAAGTGAGAAAAGGGCCGAAAAATATTGTGCACATGTTGTTTCCTGTATAATGACTCCCCTGCTCTTTTGAACATTAAGCTTCACTGCGTTCAGTTTTTTGTCCTGATCTTGTTTAGGCTGTTCCCTCTTCATGGGTGRCCACTCATCCTCCTCCATCTCACTCTGTATTCACGTCAATTGTCCTTTCTGCATATTTCTCCTCTTTGGGGCAAAAACAAGCATCTTTTGACAAATTCCGTGTTGAATTGTTGATAGTTGTCTCAGCAGTTTAGAGTCACGTTTRTGACAAGGTCCTCTGGGGGTGACCATCCCATATTGTTCACCAGGGAGAGGCAGAAACAAGCTCAGCATTTGTGTTGAGTGGCAGTTTACTTTATCAAAACCTGGGCTTCGTATTTGTTCTAAACTATAATTTGAAGTCAAACATTTGCATACCAAGCTTGAGCTCATGTCTATAAAGAAGRCAACAGCCTCTTGTTTAGTGTCAAGTAACAATAAGAAGTCTCATTATTCCATGTTTTTGCTGCTGGTTTCTTGTAAAACACATGATTAAAACAACTCATTTGCTCAGTAAGACCAAAACAAATTTTATTTTGTCAGAGTTGTGGATTATAAAGGAAGAATCTGAATTATATTTTTTGTCCATAATGACTTTTAGACAGGACAATAAGCACAAATTAAAACTGAGACGCCTGTAATTTGAGTTTGTTTCTGTTGTTTTGTTAGGGAAAGCCAAGAAGCAGTTCCAAACATGTAACTGTGTTAAAAAAATAACTCTTCAGGAAATTAATCAGGATGTTGTTTAACATCTCTTTTTGGAGCACTTGCCCTCCACACGTCCTTCTTAAAATATCTCAAAAATGTTTTTTTTTTTTTGCAGCAGCAGGATGTGTCAAATAAATGTGAATATATTTATTTATTTCTGTTTGGTGACACAGAGGTCATCCTGATGCAGCTGAGCTGCTCCTGTTCTTCTTATTGACCAGATTTAATAAACAATTTTTTTGTATATGTGGTGTTGTTTTTCCATTTACTTTTTCTCATGTTCTGAAAGGAAATGTGAGCTACCACCTATTCTTACCTGAAGTGTGAACTTTGCTTTCACCTCTAGAAAAAGCCCCCCCCACCCCACACACACACACACAACCTCTTGTTTCAAAGTGAGTCAGTTTTCCAGATGAATCAGATTCTCATTGATCTCCATCTCTGATGTCTTAGAAGCACGAGTCAAGACCAAAGATCTGATGAGCTCTTTGTGCTCAAAACAASACARAAAACTGCTTGATCTTCTCTAAAGGAGAGCACCTACAGTAAGATGGGGATCAAATGTATGTTTTAAGCCAGATCACAAGCTTTCACAAACATCACCAACTGTGTGGAGATAATAAAAATCAGGTCCCGTGGGGAYGGACTTGTTAAAAGCTTTGTGCTTGTCCCACAGAGCTCCCAAACACAAATCGTTAGGAGACAGTTTGCTCCAACTCCACATCATGACTAATCKTTTGCATTTGATTTTCCTTCCACTCTGCTTATAAAGTTTATTTCTGAGAAAAGATCAGTGACCTGCTGCGTTCTTGGTGACACTCAAGCCGAATGAAACAAATCGATTCTAAAAATATGCTTTGCATTTTCAAAGTCTCTTAAAGCAACAGGACACCAAAATGGATAYCAGTTTAAAAGCTGCTTTTTTAAACCACAAACCAAAGTTTGTTCATCCATGTCATTTGGTTTTGTTCAAATTAAAAAAAAAGAGATAAAATAAATCAGCTGAAGTATCAGCTTGATTTCTCTGCAGAATTAGCCCACTTTGCCCTGCAGGCTTCATCCCACATAGATGACCCTCTTTTTTTTTACTTTGGCTGCTCAGGCCTGAAGCACACGGCTCCCACGCAGCGCAGGGCCTACGCAAAGTTTTCATGCTCCTGAGTTGCTGTGTTCCAGGAGGAGGCCACTGGGAGGGTCACGTGACGATGAGAGCCAGGTGTGCACGCTTGGTGAACGTGGACGACCCCAGCTGGGACAGCTTCACGGGAGAAGACAAACAGCTCAGCAGCGCGGTTTGATTGTTAACACACCAACTGTGGCAATCCTAAAATTAACACAAAACAACACCCACATGTTGGCTGCTTTCTGATAGCAACAAATTAATACATGCACAAATACACTGCATTGTGCAAAAATACACTTATTGTCTCACATAAACAAACAAAACATGCTAAAATAATGACACGTGGTTTATTTTAAATTAAATGTTAGTATCATGGCTGCACATCATCCCCTTTTAAACCAATAAAATCTGAACCCGATCATTTGTCCAGCTTTACATCATGCAGTTCACAGAAACACAAGCACACAACAATCAGTATTTTATATTTATTGGTGGAATTCTCTGTTTGTTGTACATTCACGTAAAAACACCACCATGGTCAGTAAAGATAGCACATTCTTGGTGTACAATATATATTTACATTTTCCACATTATTTACATTGTTTTTACATTCAGAAATGCATTGTGATCAAATCATTGATCTGTTGTTGTTCTGCTGTAGAAATGGTTCATCTCTCGTTCCCCCCTCCATCAGTGAGCTGACCCATCAGATCATGTTAAACAGAAACGAGGCAACTGTGACAAAAATACTCCTCTAATTTAAAAAAAGAAGATAAAAGGTCAATCTAAATCACATTCAGTTGTAGAATTACATAAAATAAAGTTCAATCTGAGGATTAAATACATTATTCACACAAGTTCTCTCAAAATAAAACCATCAGGGTTTTTTTCTGCGTGCTAAAAACCCAAAACAAGCACGATGAAAACCTTAAATACAAATATAAGGTTTTGTTAGAGATATTATAATTGAGCTCCATGATTTATTCATTTTGAAGACCTCACATAAGATACTGTTGTGTTATTTTGTTTTTAAAGTCAGTTTACATCTTGTCGTCAGCCTGATGACGTCACATTTCTGTCAACATTCAATCTGTTCAATTTTGACCTTTTATTCTTGAGAACTCGTGTTTTGCATGTTTTACATTCAAGCTCTAGTCAGTGGCTGTAGGTGGATGTGCGACAAGGAGGGCGGGGGATCCAACTGTCCAACATCAGACAAGATGTTGCATCATTTTCTATCCAACTATGATGAAGAATTTAACAAGGAGTGTTGCAAAATCTTATGTAAACATTGGGATAAGTAACTTTCTAAAAACACAACCTAAAACCATCGAACTGCCTTAATCCAGATCCTCAGACCCCGCCCCCACCCCTGCGCACACACATGTTCCTTCTTTACAAATATCTAATTCATTCTCTTTCATAATAAAAGCATACAGTTAACTCACCTTTTCATAACAAAATAAAAGCAGGGTTCATAATAAACCCTTTCAAAGAAGCTTTCTGTGATTTACGAGAGCGAACATTGCTTTAAAAACCTGCCTTGGCTCTTCTGAGCAGGAGGCAGATCATACCTTCTTCTGGTTTGGATAAACACCCTCTTAAGAACAGTTATGTAAACCCCAGTCTTTGACAGAGAGCAGAGTCTATGCCTTCATTTGTTTGTTGAATGGTTCTCCTCAGCTGTGGAAGCGATGGGAGCCACAGTGACGGCAGCATCCTGCTGTAAATATTGCCTGAGGTGAGGAGAGCTGTGTTCGGCGGGGACTCGCTGCTGGTGTTTGTGTTAAAACATCTCCCAGAGGTAAGAAGAAAAAAAGTTCCTCTTCACTCTTCTTGCTCTGTTTTATTTTTTGCATCAGTGAGTTTCCAATTGGAACACCGCCGACTCTTTTGTGTTTCAGTTAAAGGTGCTAGCTGTAGTCACGTGTTTTTCATCTCACAGGGCCTCTGCCAGGCGGCGGTCAGCACCTTCGTTCGCTTCCAGACGCAGCTGTCGGCTGCTTTTTCTGTTCTCCACCCAGGAGTTGTGTATCACTGTGCCCCCTGGGGAGGGGTCTACCTGGAGCAGGGACACCACCCTCTTCTTGACTTTAGCGCGAAGTGCGCGGCGCAGTTTCTGTCGGGTGAAAGCGTACAGCAGCGGGTGCGACACGGTGGTGCCATAAGCCAGGGCCAGGAACCAGAGGCGCAGGCTGACCAGGACATCGCTGGGTCCGATGCCCAGGATCAGCATGTTGGTCACAGACAGGGGAGCCCAGCAGCCAAGAAAGGTGGTGATGATGATGAGGGACATCCTGAACACCCGCCTCTGGCGTTCCCGCCGATCTCGATGGCGCCGCACTGCCCGGCGCAAAGCGATGATCGCCGACACAGACGCCTGGACGCCCATGGGGGCTGGCAGGTGAGTGGCTGCAGCCGAGTCAGAGGTGACCAGTGGAGCGGCAGAGGACAGGGCAGGGGGGGAGGTAGCCGTCGGGGTGGGGGAGGGGGATGAAATGAGTGGAGGATGGTTGAGTTGTTTGGTTCCATCGCCGGTGCACTGTTCTCCTCCCGCCTCCTCCCATTCATTCACCGCAAGTCCTGTCGTCCTCTTTCTTTGTCTCTTGCGGCGCCTCCTAAACCTCTGGCTTTTCCTCATGTGAGAGCCGATGCGGATGTTTAACGCCCTCAGTATTCTGGAGTAGGTGAACAGCATGACTGCCACTGTGGTGAAGAAGATGGGCACCTGCAGGATCAGATGGTAATACATAGGCGTGCTCATGTGGTAGCCCTGACCACCCACACACAGGACCGTCCTGTTATGCCATGCGGGCACCGCTGTGCTGCTAACGTCCTGTGAAGACAAAGACAGGGGTGTCACCTGTTGCGTTTCCTCTTTTCCTTCCGCATCGGACCACTGCACCTCAAGGAAGGGCATGAAGAACACTGCAACCGAGGTGACCCAGACAGCAGCCAGGAGCAGAGCCGCCCTGCGTGTCGTTAGCAGCCGGTTAGCCGGTCGTACCGAGATGTCATATCGATCCAAGCTGATCACCAGGATGTTGATGGCTGTGGCGATGCTGGCGAACGTAACACATGCCTCGTGAAAGCAGCAGATCAAGGCCAGGTTTTGCCCTGGAGGCAGGAGCACGACCGCCAGAGTCAGGGGCACACAAAGGATGCAAACCGCCACATCCAGCACGTGCAGGTTGACTGTCACCATGTTGCTCACCGAGTCCACCAGGTTGGACTGAGAGCAGTAGAGCACCAACACGGTCAGGTTGCTGCTGAAACCCAGCACCAGCTCCAGCATGAGGAAGGCAGTGAGCGACACCTGGAAGCCCAGAGAGTATGGCATGTGCCAGAACATTGGGCTGATGGACGGGGTTCCTTCTCCATGCTCCTGACGGTCCTCCATGCCCTCCAGGCCAGCCAGTGTCCCAACCCAGTCAGCGGTGGCTGGGCCAGAAGCATAGGTGCTGGTCTCCATGATGACTCTTCAATATATTGTGTCTGGCATGCCGCTGATTGGTTCCCATGATGCACCAGTCTGAGCTTCCATGATGCAGGGGTGAAACGGGGCTTGTTGACAGTGCTGTGGAGATGAGAACACAATGCAGACAGATGAGAAATGCATCATGGGAGACAGAATCAAAACACATTATTCTCTTTCCTAATATGTCAGGGTTCCAGGCATAACTTTGGATGGAAAAGTTATAACAGAGATCATAACCCAAGTACATTTCCTACGCGTGCATTAATAAACTTCAGCTACCGCCGATCGAGCAAGCGCTGAATTATGCATCAATCCATCCCTCAATGAGCTGTCAATCAGGATCACTGGTTACCATTTTGTCTTAGCCACAGGCCGAGATGGGCTCGTAAGCTGCCAGAACCACAGGCTGCAGCAACACACAGTTCTGGAGCTCAGGGGAATGACCAAATTGAATGAAACTCATTTATCAGACTCACAGGCAATCAGCTGGCCTCAGAGGATCAGAAGAAACAACACATTCAACAAGATACACACAACTATGATGCTGTCTCTGCTGGCCGGAGACGACCTAAAGGACATTTCAAATACTTCAAGTGTTAACAGAGGAGGAGATTCCTGTGTTTTGTAACAGTGTTTGGTGGGAAAGTTGTAAATAATTAAAATCTTGTTATATATTCATATCATCCTGTTGTAGCTTTTTGAATAAGTTCAGAGAAATGACTAAATAAGGGAAGCTGATAAGCTAATGGCTAGTCCAAGCAGCAAGATCAAACTGGTCTGCTGCTACTGAAAAAAATAAATAAATAAAAATAAAAAACCCAGTCTCAAATATTTCAGAATGGTTCATATTTTATTTTTATAATGTTTTACCTCACTGCTGATTCTGCAAAACCTTGCTATTTACACGTGTTTCTGTTATCTGCAAAACCAAATATCAGCAACAACTAATAGCATTTTTTAATGCAGCCTGGCAGGAATATAATTATCTTTCTGCCACAGCGTAATGCACATTTGACGGTGTAAACTGTTATAAGCCAGTGTTTACATGAATCACTACAAAGTGCTTGAGATTTGTTGTTTTGTGATGGCAGCGATCCACTTTCATCCTGTTTGCTCAAAGAACAATCCAGTCAGAATTAAACTGCAGTTATTCAAAGAGTTATCTGCAACAAGTAAGATGTTAATGGTTCATAACCTTTCCACATAACCCCATTTGTAAAAGTTCTATGATTTTGTTTTGCACAAATGAAAAAGAATAAACTGTTGGTGATTTTTAACAGAGGTCAATATGTTATTTTAGTACCTATTTCTCAACAACCTTTTTTATTCTATCTCTTGGTCTATTCATAAATAACAGACATCTGATATGGTAACAACACTAAACTGTTTATTTCCACCTCTTATAACCTGTATCGCAGTCTTTCTTTATTGCGTCAACATGTTTTTGCTTGAAGCATCTTTTATTTATAGCTTGTGTCTCTTGGTGTGTTAAGAACAGAAAATATTGCCTCAAGTTTTACTCTTTTTTGTTGTTATAGAGATAATTTAGAAATAATAAAGGGAGATATATATAACAGGAGTTTAATTATATCACAACCATCTCTGGCTCCAGATCATTTTTTTCCTCCTCTGCAGTTGTAGGCAGGTTGGTGGTAGATTGTCTTAGATTAACAAAAGAAATGCTGAATTGTGCTGCGATTGGTTGTTTCACTGCAGCATTGTGGATGGTTTGTTTCTAAATGAAGCAGCTAAAGGATGCACTAAATGACTCAGTTGTGGACTTAGATATGTGGTGTGTTTAATGTTTTAATTAGAATTTTATAGTTCTGCAGAACAAGTGTGAAGGATTTTGTGATTCTTGGAAATTTAAAAGGGCAAATTTACCTTTGTAAACGATGAGCCACGCCCACTTTAGCCAGCCTTTACCATATCTGAAGAGGTGTCCGATACTGTTTTTCGAGGGTCTCTATCCTGCATGTTTTAGAGCAGTGGTTCCCAAACTTTTCAGCTTTTGACCCACAAAATAACAGTAGCAGAGACCTGAGCCCCCAACTATTTTTGGATGATAAACATTTATATCATGTCAACAAAACATGGGCATAACAATATTTTTATACTACATTTATCCATTTTAAATACACTAACCAACTAAGACAAAAATGTAACTAATTCCAAAAACCTTTTCAGGACCCCACCTTGATGTTTCRGGACCCCACTTTGGGTCCCGACCCCAACTTTGGGAAACACTGTTTTAGAGCATGGCTATTTAACTAAATTTCTCCAGAGGTCACAGTTACTCAACGCCAACAGGTCGGGGCCAGACATCCTCAGGGGGGTGCATCGTGGGGGATAGGGGCATTGCCCATTAAAACACTGCAGTGTATAAAAGAACAACTATTATTAATTTTTACCTTTTAATTTATTTTGTTGCATTGGATCATAAATTATAAATTATATGTTTACAAATTATTTGAAATTATTTTTAAATTTTATAAATTATTTACTTATTTATTGGAGGGGGGCTCATTGGTGGACCACATGGAAGTCATCTGCGAGCTGGATGTGGAATAGCCCTATATAGAGATTTCTTTGCTGCACACCTAATGTGAATAAAGGAGTTATTAACATGATTGCACAGAACTTGAAGATGTATTTCAGTCACTGAATCAGGTGTGCAGGACCAGAGAAACAAGGAAAACATGCAGGACAGCGACCCACAAGGACCAGGACTGGACACCCCCTGACTTAAAGTCTGCCCCTAAACATAGATTTATTGTTTCATAAAAATCCATACAGCCATTTTTGTTACTTAAACTACTCAGATCTATAGCTTCTTGATGCACTTACAAATAATTTAATACAGATATTGAGGAAGAAGTTACGAACTTGTGTTCTGAACACATAAAGCTTTTTTTTTCATAAGTTACAAAGCATTTCACATACAGTAAATTTAATTCAGTTCAATCCAAAACAGCCGCCAGAATAGTTTCAGAGCTTTGGTTCATAGTCTGATGATCCCTTCAAAACACGAGCAATTTTCTTTAAACAGAACTGACCCAGCAACAGAATCCAGCTCCCAGGAGACGTCCCTCCTGCTCCTGGTGGTATATATACGATATAAACAAGTCTGATGGCAGATCAAATGGAAAGAGACAGCATTCAAAATTGCAATTACAGATCCTGGTGAATTGGTGTGCTCATAAGGTTGTTGTTGTCAGGGTTGAGGCGGGCAGTGATGCAGAAAACTTTATCGCTGATCACTGCTCAGATCACTGGTTAGCAGGCTGTCATGGTGCATCAGAACAAGACGCATCACGACCAAAGCTGGAAATATTGCAATTGGAGAGGAGACACACCTCCAGTCAGTGCAGGTTGTTACAACGGGTCAGGCGTTGGGTCGCACCGCTGGTTGTTACATAACACAGTTAGATGACCTCCTGCATGGGTGAGACTGACGACAGTCTGATTTGAACGTACTGAGAAAATATGACTTCAAGTAGACACGCTTACTAATTGCTGTTTTTGCAAACACTATCACTTCAGTTTGACATTGCTTCTAGTTTTGCCTTACAGTTTGTTTTCGTCCGTCCGTCCGTTTTCTGCCGCTTATCTGGGGTCGGGTTGTGGGGGCAGCAGCCTAAGCAGAGAGACTCAGACTTCCCTCTCCCCAGCCACTTGGACCAGCTCGTCCGGGGGAATCCCAAAATGTTCACTGGCCAGCTGAGAAGCATAGTCCCTCCAGCGTGTCCTGGGTCTTCCTCTGGGTTTCCTCCCAGTGGAACGTGCCCAGAACACCTCAGTAGGGAGGCATCCGGGAGGCATCCTAACCAGATGAACCACCTCAAGTGGCTCCTCTCGACGTGGAGGAGCAGCGGCTCTACTCTGAGTCCCTCCCAGATGACTGAGCTTCTCACCCTATCTCTAAGGGAGAGCCCAGACACCCTGCAGAGGAAACTCATTTAGGCCACTTGTATCCGGGATCTCGTTCTTTAAGTCACTACCCATAGCTCGTGACCATAGATGAGGGTAGGAACATAGACCGACTGGTTAATTAAGAGCTTTGCCTTCTGGCTCAGCTCTCACTTCACCACGACAGACCGGTACAGCGCCCACATCACTGCAGACGCAGCACCAATCCGCCTGTCGATTTCCCGCTCCATTCTTCCCTCATTCGTGAACAAGACCCCAAGATACTTAAACTCCTCCACTTGGGGCAGAACCTCCTCCCTGACCCAGAGAAGGCATGCTACCCTTTTCTGGCTCAAGACCATGGTCTCAGATTTGGAGGCACTGATCCTCATCCCGGCTGCTTCACACTCGGCTGCGAACCGCTCCAGTGAGAGCTGGAGATCAGGATCTGATGAAACCAACAGTTTTTTTTTAGTTTAAAGTTTATTCATTTAAAAACAACACAAATTCAACATACAACAAAACACAAATCACAAATTAAATTAAATTAAAGATAGCAGAGGAAGAAATAATATTATAGTCTCTGCCCCACCTCCCCCCC